ATMTATATATATATATGCCTACGGTTTACCGGGCAGTTCTATTTGACGATATATATATATATATATATGTCTGGAGTGTAGTTTTTGGCTGTGACAGACCTTTCTTTGTTTCGTGGATGTTTTGCTGGCTTGTGATGGGGTGTGAACCGACAGTCTGTAGAGTTTTCCATCTGGTGTGGGTGAGTGATAGTCTACTTTGATTTTGGTTAAGGTAGATTATCATTTACAGTGTAATCAGTGAGGGGATTCTGCAGACTGTCGAGGGTTCAGCCTCCTGATGAGTCGGTGAAACTCCGACGAAACAGTTTGTCACAGCCCCTCGTTTGTTGTCCTCTTCTCTCTCTCTGCCTACGGTTTACCGGGCAGTTCTGTTTGTGACGATATATATATATATATATGCCTACGGTTTACCGGGCAGTTCTATTTGACGATATATATATATATATATATGCAGTTCTGTTTGTGACGATCTATATATATATATTCTGGGCGGTTTTTTGGCCCACTGGGCCCAACCAGCTGGGCCGAGACCAGCCGGGCAGGCCCGGCTTGGCAGCGTCCTCATTCAGATGTTTAATCAATTATTTATTATATTACAGTGTTCACCCCCTGCTCTCCTCTTGTCAACCGAACAACTCCGAGAATCTCAACCACGAAATCTGTTCCACCTCCAATCAACTCCCGACAATGCACTTCAACGAATGTTCACTGAAATTTCCTCTTCTCCCTACGGCCCCTGGCCTCCAATGATAGCCCACTGTTGAAAACAGCATCTCATCATGCTCGGAGCCTGTGAGTACAGGGGCTGATTTGGCATGAGCCAGATACCAAGTCGCAGCGCCGCAAACCACCGTGAAGAAGAAGGTGAGCCTCGATGAAGAAGATGATGGCTGCCCTGGTATGGCAGCAACTAGCAACAAGCAAGCCGCTCAAGGAAGAAACCAGCTGTTCTTCAACCCCACAAACAGCAATGTGATGGCAGTGGCATCAGCACCTGGAAGACCTCCTACAGGTGCTGCCTCCTCAAGCAGCAGGGCGGCCCAGCTATGGCTGGCAAGTTCCCCTTTGAAGAGGAAGAAGACTGAGCGCTGCAAATAGTGCCGCTCACGTACTCCCGTCGCCACTTCCCAAAAACATGAGAAAAGAACTCCAAACTTTTTGGCCTCTCCCTACTTCTACTGGACTTTCCCAGACCTACAACAAAGCAGTCACCTACGAACCTATGTTCTACTGGACTTTCCCAGACCTACAACAAAGCAGTCACCTACGAACCTATCTGACCGTCGAAACAGCAAACATCTACAGCCAAACAGTCAAGATTCCGATTGGATCGCTCCCGGAGGGTTAAACGGTAGGAAGGGGGAGGGGGGAGCTCTATCTTGCAGGGGCATCACAAGGCGGGGGGTGAATGTCTCAAAGAAGGTAGGGGAGGAGTAGGGGGTTGCCCTATTCTGGGGCAGGGGCTGGTGTGTGGGTCAATATCAGTCCCGGCGGAGGCAGAAAGGGGCAAGGGGCTGGGGGGGCATGCTTTAGGTGGGAACTGCGTGCTCATGGGGAAAGGGGGGTAGAGGGTTGGTCCTATATTGGGGCCGAGGGAGAGTGGGTGACTCACCTCGATGGAGGCGGTGTAGGGCTGAGGGGGGAGGGGGAGGGGGAGGGGGKGGGAGGGGCGATCTTTCTTGAATAAGTCTATCATTTAGATAAAGTTTACTATTTCTTTTCATTTGGTTTGCCGCTCGAGGAGGATGTAGGAATAGGTGCTATCTGACAATTCATCTGCAATCCTGCGAAGGGTGGTTGAAAATTTGGTGGCCCTCGAAGACCGATGCTGGAGCAACGCTGGCCTGAGCCGGAGCCAGGTGGTGCAACTCTGTGACCTAGCTTACTGGGGGCGTGAGGCCCGGTAGAGAGCTAAGGGGGGCTGCGTGCGGGGGCAGTCTCAGTGGTCATCGGGGGTCATAACTGGAGCAACGCTGGCCGGTGCTGGAGCAAGGTGGTGCAACTCTGTAACCTAAACCTGATGGGAGCATGAGGCCTGGAAGAGCTTCGGTTCGTGCTGAAAACGGTCATGCTGGTGGTGGTCGTAGGTGGATTGAATAGGTTTCACCTAATAGTATCTGATTTGTAGGTGGTTCTTATGATTGTCTTAGGACTCTAGGGATTCTTAGCAACCCATCCTAGGCGGTTTTGAAGCGGTTATACTCAGTGATCTGCGGCTGTTCGATGCCAGAACGACGCTGGCCGGTGCTGGGGTGTTGCCCTGTAACCTGCTGATGCAGGAGCGTGAGAGAGATCTCGGGATGCTTTGGGTTGGGCATCCCAAGGGACAGCCAAGGTTTGCTGCTGGGACGACGCTGGTCGGAGCTGGGGCGAGTTGTGTTGCCCTGAGATCTCTCTCTCTCTCTCTCTTCCCAAGGGACAGCCAAGGTTTGCTGCTGGGACGACGCTGGTCGGAGCTGGGGCGAGTTGTGTTGCCCTGTAACCCAGCAGAGTGGGGGCGTGAGGCTTGAAAGTGCTCAGCAGGGAGTAAGACTGTGTTGGAAGTCTTAGAAGGGCTTGTTAGGAATTCTGAGGGTTGTGAACATTCGTAGAACCTCTGTGGCAGCCTACTGCATGAGTAGTTCCTTAATAGGTCATTAGATATTCACAGACTGATCTCAGTCGAAGCCGGGTAA